TTGAAAGGCAGACAACCATATCAATGAGCTAATCATGCCCCATACCCACTTCATCCGCCCTTACTCAACTGGCCGCGTTCAGCGAAGGGAGATTCAAGAGGCTGGGGCGTTCTTCTATGCTTACAGCTACACTTCATACATAAGGTAGGTGTAAGTGAGGTGATGACAATCGAACTATCGAGTCGCGGCTGGTGCATGATAAAGTCGCGAGTTCTAAAATGCAGCTCTGCAGCAAACAGGATAAAGTTCGTTGTACATACGCGATAGTGTTGGATCACTAGTGGATGGGATTAAGGGTCATGACTCCTACCCATTCCTCAAGCATGTGATGCGAGATAGAATTGTACCTGTACAGCTGTGGTACAGTATCTCATTGGCTGCTCCAATGAGATACTTAGAAGAGATGCTAAATCTAATGTCGAGACGGGATCACGCCGGGTTTACCGGTGTTGTATAGGGATGAAATTATAGAACTGGGGACTGCCTTGAGTGCAGCTTTCGTCCTCATAATCAAAGAGGATATATTCAGAACTTACCTATTCTCGTCAGAGTGGTAGTATGGCGCTTGCTATGCGAATGTCCTTCGTGTTTGGTTGAATGCCTCGGCTAGACGGCGCGGGTTATTGTGGTACATAACTTGATTCTCGTTATCAAGTTTAGCTAGAAAGTTAAGTTTAAGGGTAAGTTGGGGAGAGTTAGTGAGTGTAAGTAGATATGGTGTAAGGAGGAATTTCAATGGGTGAGAAAAAAAATCCGTAGACTCAGGAAAGGTAGGAATGCTGAGAGAATGCCTTGGGGTGCTTACATCTCTCCAATGTATATGGTGGTAGTCAGCTCACTGTGTAGAAGTATAGCCTAGTGAGTCAACTTTGTATCTATAAGTTTCGCCTTACCTTACCGGATGTACACTTCCTCCAGCTCTACTTGTGAGGCTACCAGCTCCGCTTCGAGTTGCCTGACACGGTTCTCGAGCTGTGCTCTGGCCCTTTTATGGTGCCCTGCCGAGTACTTGGCTCTATTTCGATCATCGAGTACCCTGTCGAGTGCTAAAGGCAAGGCTTCGAAGGCCTCAGCATCAATACCCTGGTCGGCGGCCAATGTGATAGCAAGGGGCCATAGCTTCGTTAGCTTGTTGCGGTCCTCAATGATATCTTTCAACGCCTCTACAAGGGTGTCAGTATCATTTGGGTCGATCGACTCAGCCTCGGCAACTAGCCATGCAAGAGGCTGTAAAGCTTTATATCTCTTGAGTCGGCGATTTTGCTTCTCAGTCTGGCGATATAAAACTTTATAAGCATCGTCGACACAGAGATGGTTATCCTTACCGCTCTGTTGGGTGTCGCCATCTTCTGGAGCAGAGAGTATGATTAAAGGAACCGAACTATTAGAGGTTTGCTCAATATTTTGGTCTGCTTTGTTGTCATCCCATATTTCTGGGGCAGGAAACATTTGAAGGTTGCTGTCCACAGCCTCTGTCGAAAATACTCTGCCTCGCCGACGTTCAGCTGTGAAGTTAATCGTCGGTATTGGTCCCCCAAGGACAATATCCTCATCTCCTGGGTAGATAACTGCCTTCCTATGTTGGGCTTTGATAGCCTTGTCGCTCTGATTTGGCGATATTTTGGCTACCAAGCTGTTTAAAGGCCGAGGGGGATGAGAACCCAAAGCTTCTTTAGCCGAGCCCAGATTTCTGCGATCAATCATCGGCGGTATAGGACGGTTGGGCTGATTAGGAAGCCTCTCCGTTGGTGGAGAAATATGTTGCCGTGTCTCTCCTATTGAATACGGGCGCAGTAAGGCTGGGCCCTGCTCAATCGGTGGACGGACTGGACGGAAAGGGGCTGATACCGCCTGCGAAGGCGTAGGCTGCCCGATAACGACAATTTTGTCAGTCGACTGCTTACTCCGGGCCTTACCTGTCTTCCCCAAAAGCCTCTCAAAACGAGACAATCGATCATCGTTGTCCGACCGTAGATCATTAGTCTTCGATAGCACGTTTCCGGGCTGCCCCCGGGCGCCAACGGCCTGCATAGGCGCCCGGGGTGATGACTGGTAACTGAATGCCTCCCTATTTGAGGAGTGGGGACAGCTTTGCTGTTGAAACTCGAGTTGCTTAGATGCCATCGTGCCGCAAAGTGAAACAGAAGACTGGTCAATGATAGTGTGTAGGTATCGGATAGAGTGTGCCGTGTATCCCGATCCTTGTGAATAGGTCCAGATAGAAAGCGGAAGGACGATCGGACTATATACCCGACATGAATTCAAAAGAACTAGAGTGTTATTGTTTCCCCAAAGTGCGCTGCGGCCTTTGTCCGAACTGAGACATTATTTCTAAACAAGGGGAGGCATACTTCACAATCTATTTGTGATTAAGCTGAGCTACCTACCTACAAAGAGTAAACAAACGGACTTAGGAACCGTGGTTCTTATGTTGCTCTAGGTTACACCGAGCTACGATCTAGATGAGGCTTCTTTGTTGAATGCATGCACTGCCACTCCAGCCTCGGAAAACGACGGTGGTTCCTCATCGACTATTGGGTGGCCGGACCCTGCTGCTGCTGCTGAATCCATCCGCTTTAAACACTATTCAAATAACCCGCTGGCTGAGTATTCGCAGAAGCGCCGTTATTCGATGGAGCTAAAATTGGTGGTCGTTGCGCAGCTACATGTTTATTAGTATGGCGTGCAATAAGCGGTATTCTGGTAAGTTATGTTTCCTCGCCTCTGGGTTTTGAAGACATGGTCGACAAGCCACCAACGCTATTGCTGCCCTGGCCGACCTTCAAGCTCGAGCTCATTCGCATAACAGGTAATGTGCTGGTATTGCGAAGATAACTTGACGAGCCATTACCTAGTGGAGCGCGCGGATTCATCTGGTTCCGGGGTGACCGTGGTGTTCCGACAACAAGGCCGGGGATCGTTGACAAGCCGATGCTTGTCGGGTCACCGACCCGTTGCCGGTGAGTTGAAGGGGTGATAGGTACGTTAGCTGTGTTGTATTAGTAAATCACGTGCCATTGATATATATAGATATTGTCTTGCCTTGCGCGCCAAAAGTTCGTGGCCAACTACTAGCATGGGCTGGAATGTTAGTTTGGGAATGGTTGTATGTACCTATGCCTCCTTGTCGTTCGTATATGCCAGACCCAGACTGTCCGTAGAACGTGTCACGTGGCTGAAAATAAGGCATGTCTTGGACCTCACTCCCTACTCCACCGTTACTCGTTGGTGGCACTTGCAAAGTCGATTCGACAGCATCCTCTGCGGCATCTTGTACCTGGCCAAGCATTGCCTTTCTCTTGAGTCTGTCATAGAGCTCTTGCGTTTGAAGGAGCCTTCTGTTCTTCTCTTTGAACGTTTGGAGAAGCTCGTCGTACTTCTTGCGAAGCCCATCTTGGTCGAGCTCTGCACCTGGAGAGGGTTAACTGTGCTGCCTGGAGAGGAGCATACCAGAACCGTACTGTGGAGTTTGTTGTGGCAATTAGCAATCTCAGCGTTAGCTTCGTTCACGACCTTGTCCAAATGGACATTCAAGCGGGAATATTTGTCCGTCAACGTCTTGGACATATGTTGTTGGTAAATACTACTCAAGCATCAGCACCGTGTGAGGTTCCGCATCAGGTTAAGGAACGACAGACATCTCCTGAGTGATCTGATAGGCCCAAAAGCTGAGAGCTCGACTCGCACAATCCATGATGACATTAGGGTTGAGGCCGCTGAGCACACTTGTTTTATAATCCTCGCTGGGCTTAAGGTTCGCGATGACGGCATCGTCAGGATTGATCAAGTGTGTGCCGCAGGCCGGACATGCAGTCGGCTGATCACGTCTCGGGTTAGACAACCCCGTATGGGTAGCACAGTCACCGCAGAAGATGTGACTAATGAGCAATGTCGTTAGTCTTATGGCGAGCTATGCCGAGTAGGATGGAGAGTCACGCATGTGCGGTACAATTTACCAACAAGTTGTTACGAGGGCGTGATCACCCAGCTCCTTGCGACACTTAAGTACGTTGCAATGTAGATTTTGTTCCATCTCGGTGCAAAGAACGAGGCTGTTCAAGTCCGCAGACCTACGAAGCGGTCGTGTGATGAGGACCATGATACGAAGCTGGGAAGTCCGGGCTGAGAGAGGCAGCAAACAGCCAAAACAGAGTCGAGAGGAGAAGAACGGGCGCGTGAAGAAGAAGAAGCGCTGATAAATCGCTTTTTATGTCTACCATCTCTTGTCCATCACTCCTTCTATGTTCTTCCTCGACGTGGCGGAATGCGTCCAACTGGTAAGAGCACCTTCCTGGAACTATAGACCACATGCTCGCGATACGTAGTAGCGGCATCATGAAGGGGCCCTCCTCCTGTAGGTACTTGTTAAGGTACGGCTTACCTGATTGGCTCTCGAGCACCTTCTTCAAGTTTTTGTTCCGAGCCCCTCTCGAGCTATACACAGCACAACCCTCGATGCCTGGCTAAGACTATTCTTGATCAAAGGAGTGACTGCCCTGAGTGCGCATTTCAGTCCATCGGCAATGAAGGAAGGGCTTAAGTCTATGTGGCCACCGATGAGGTGAGCTTCAAACCTAACACCGAAAGAGAAGAGTGTCTCTCAAACAGCAATACCGATTTTCAGTACCTCAAGAGGAAGGTTATTTTCATTTTAAGCATATCCCGCTATCATGGACCCATCCACCTCACAAAGCTCCCACAATAAGCTGTCGAGTGTCGTACCTAATACATTATTCGGTTTTGCCGTCTAGGTGTCACTTCAGCTCATAGAGCGTGTGCTGCAGCTTTGTCACGTCAAGATACTACAGGCGTCGGTCATATCTCTCGATGCTGCCTGCTAAGTAGGTGGCAAAGTGATACGATTACGTTTGGCTATCTGTCGGTGTGCCAAGAAAACCATATAGGGTTAGTGGGCCAACTAATGCACGGACTAACCGCTTTTAACGAAAAATTCAGATTTCTGAAGGATTATAATGAGTGATAAGTCAACTGGCACATATCTCCTGATGGCACAGTTGGTAGCGCGTTGGACTGTAAAAGCAATTATAGATATCCACAGGTCGCGTGTTCGAATCACGCTCGGGAGACATTTCTTTTTTTTGCTTATTGGCTTGTCTATTCTCTTTGGTTAGTTTATCGCTAGCCTTTTGTTCAAGCGTAACTCTATTTTGACAGACATAGTTTGTGCATACGTATACGTAACAGGAATGGTAAATATCAATTAATTTGAGGGATGAAAGGTCAAGTGAGTAAATATATCTACCCCCTACGTTCCAAGTGTGGTGGAGACTGCAGTTTTTCACGGGACAAGGGATACGGCGAGACTATAGTCACAATGGCCTCGCTGGATTCGCCAGTCGGTTGAATGGTATTAGATTAGTTAGCCCGAAGGTTAGGACATCACCACAGTGTCTCGGATCATTGACGGACACGTTGAATCGGCCAATTTTTAATATTGTTTTCCCCATAACCTGACCAATATACAGAGAAATTAGTATAATACTCCCCGCTTTAAAGCACACACTGAGGCAATAAGCTTGCCGCGTCTATACTTCGTATCGGCCAATATAATTATGCGCCAACAGTTATAATTGTGTAAGGAAATGTCACAGCTGTAGACAGGGGACCAATTATTGATCGATCGAGGACGCAAGGAAATTTGTACTTCTTGCGAAAGGTTTGAGTAATTACACCCTGCGACATCTTAAGGAATAGGAAATAATTGTGTCCATCTTGTGGTTGTTCTTTCTCTTAGAGGAACAACGCCCGCTACATTTTGATAGATAGCACAAGCTGTGACGCTGCAAATAGCTAGGCTCTGATTGCTTTAAGTTCCAAGGTCGGCAGTCAATTTCTTTGTACTGCCAGGATACCCTAGAAGAGTGAACCTTCGATTAAAAACGGAGAAGCGGACGATTCTGAGCTATGGTATGACAGCTTTTGATCTAGCAGGGTGTGTTGTTCCCTTTTCGTTATTGGCACTGAGGGAAGGCCAAATTGTATACCATGCGGGAATTCATACATCGGTAGGTGCCTTATTTAGAGTTACTATGGTCATGTATATTGAGAAGCATAGTGGCCAAAGGGTTGGATACTGGAATAGGGAGATGGGCCTCCAATTGTGTCTTCAGCGCCAATGAAATTTGAACCACGTATTTATCATCTACTACCATTTCTAGGCAACTGACACTCTACTTGAGGCGGTTACTCTAGCACACTCATTTATTCATCGCATTCTCTAGCTGCTTTACGTGAGCCCGGATCTGTTAAACTAATTATAGGGACCAGCTTACAGTGCTGTAGGGTTCAAGCGTATCATCTTACTGTCAAAGGTGATACTTTCTAGAATTATCCAAAGCATCGTCCCAGTAAGTTCACAGATAGACGAAGTCTGAGCTTAAAAAGAAATATAAATACAAGAAAATAGTATGAATTATTTTGGCATGCGTATAGAAAAGTCTAATATTTTAACCATTATCGTCCGGGTCTTTTACTATAAGTAATCTCCCAGCGAAGTACGTCTTAAAAAGATCTTAACCTTAAGTAACAATGCACTATACCGACAGACTGTAGATCCATGTTAGCCTTGGCTGCATATAGACAAAATAATCAACATGTCGGAAGCAATACTTTTCACCTAGAGAGTAAGCAGATCTCAATATGTTCAAAGCGGCAAAAGGAATACCGAAAAGAGCAGAGCCCCTTGATTCTACTCGTTAGTTTGGAAAGAACATCTCATCACCTCCCTTGCGTTCGAATAGGGGTTTAAGTCCCGATCCTCTTAGAAACATAGTAACTGAAAATAGTACGACTAGGCACGAGCCTCTCTACGATTTGGTAGATCCCAAATACCGAGAGCGCCGTGGAAGCAAGTGCCATCTCGACCTCGGACTCACCATCTTGAACTAGAGCATGTTGCGGTAGTAGCTGTGTAGTTGGAGTTGTCCCAGTGAATTCCTAGCTAGGTCAGCGTCTGCCGCTCAAATATTTCAACAGACCCTATCTTTGTAATAGGGAGGTTCCAGGCTTTCATTGCCCACCTAGACAAGGCGAAAGAAAACCATAATGATTAGCTCTGTGTCAAACAACACCTTTGGAAAAGTTGTGCGTCATTCTTCGATATAGAGCCAAGCGAGGTAAGGTTGCCTGGAGACTTTCTCTATGTAGGAATTAGCAGTGTATCGCCTCCCAAGATGCAAATTTGTAGCAAGTTGTCAGGTGTCTTTGTGCCAGGACCCCTTAGGGTGGCCCTATCTAGCCTTTGGATATATATTAGGGCCTTTAGGCCCTCGTTTGAGGGTTGGGATTTCCAGGAATCAATGAATCACTCTGAGCCCTAATTACCTGCATCTCAACAACTAATAGGCTTCTATTCACTTTGCGACCAACCCCCCTGACACAAGTGCATGCAGCGTCATATCTTATCTATTATCCTCTGATATCCTATCCCGACAAAATTATCAGCACTACTAGCGTATCTGCGATTTCCAACACTGGCATGAGGCTGAATATTCTGTTTCTGTCAGTCAAGGCCATGAATGCAGCTAAAGTCGGGCTTCAACATGAAGCACGGTATTCTCTGCTCTTGTGCCAATGTTCAATTTATATTTAGGCGTGAAATGTAGAGCTCTCCCAATAATTCCTAGATGACTTTGAGAGCTGCGTCTATAAATGAACAGGCGCCAAGCTCCGAGCTTGTCCGCGGGTTGTCGAGTTCTAGAGAGAGCCCCCCCTTGATTAGACAGTTCCCATGTAGTATGTTATCCTACTTTAGGTCAATACCCAGTAGCTCATTGCTAGTCACAGCCTTGTAGAATTGTCAGGGGTAAGCCCGTACTGAATTTAGGCCTGGGACAAGAGGGTTATAGTACTTACTATAAAGAGGTCATTCCGTGACTTAATGGATTATTTGACGAATAAAGACTTGGGACTTGGCCGAGACAGAAATATACGTTCCAATGATACGTTTACAGTATCTTCAAATCGTCTCTTGATGGCTGAGTTCCGGTCCTTGAAGCCAGCCGCATTTTTCAAATCGGCCTAGGTGGATTTTGAGCCGGCTTTGAGGAATTGAGTACGGCCTAAGTCATACCATGTACGAAAAGCGCAACCGTAAAGCTCCCCGGTCTTGTAAACTTCCATGTTGGCAGTGATATAGAGGTTATATTACAGAGCCCGTATCAATACCACCAGACAAACCAAGGAAGAAGCCGGCGGATGATGTTCGGAGAAGATATTACCAATGATAGACAGAAGTGTTTGCCCATATCTCAGACATTGCGTCAAGGATGCGAAGCTGCTTCTCTTTAGAGATCTGTAGAGCACCTACAAGAAGGTCTATTTTGCCGGACAGCGTAGTCATAAGTCAAATTCTACCCGTGCATAGCCCGGTTACTCGGACTTCTACACATTCCTCGAGATGATGGAAATAAAACTCCGTATATCCTCACAGCCAACCTTAACCATATTAACCTCAACGGGCCCAAGTTAGGAATGATTCCCCTACTGAAATATTCCAACATCCATTATCATAGCTAAAACTTCCCAGGAGGATGCAAACGCAGCTACCCGTAGGATGACCTAGACACACGTAGGCGGGAATCTCGAACTTGGGATCTGCGCGGAGAGTTGCGCTCTATTTTAGTGATTTTGAAAAATTCCAAGACTCCGGCACGATTATCTTGGAAACTAGGGGGGGCACTTGGCAACGTCACCACATCTACTGTGAGTAATGTCATGTCCGACAAAAGCATTTCCTTGGAATACTTCAGTTTTGGAAGAAGTCCACGATAGCAAGTTTAGAGAGCAAGTGAAAACCCTTGACATGAGTAGCAAAGGCTCTGGGTGGTTCGAGCGCCATGCCTCCCCCTAAAGGCAATTTGGCGGTATCTTGCCTGGTCTCGATGTGTCTAGCTTAGCTAAAGAGGAGCAGACTGACCCTGTGTCTTCCAGATCCCATAGCCGTATGTGTTGGGTTGTGCCGTAATTAACACTTACGTATGGCTATCTTAGATTGGTGTCTTCGGGGAGTGTAGAGCATGTCTCCTCTCGCCCCCAGATGCCTTCAAGCTCAACATAAGCTAGTGGGAGTTACAGTCCGCCATGTTCGCCACTCAGCAGGTCCTCCTCTTGGTATTTTACCGGATGCTAGTGTCGCGCTACTAAAGTACCTGTAACTGTAATTACCTATTTGGTCGTTTTCACCCCAGAAGACCTTGCACCTATAAATAGTACCATTTTCCCTTCATCCGCAAGGAAATTGACATCGAAGCCACTGGAAACAGTACCGTAGCAATGGTGTAAGATATGTGCTAGAAATAGCGTCACTGTGTGGGGTCGGTAGATGAAGACCTATCTTTGACGTAGCGGACATCTGACAATTTGGACTACTGACTAGATGATTATGGCTGGTGGCACTAGAGCGTTTCCTTGTCGGACATATCTGTTGGTGTGCACGGATTGTATCAATTCAAGTCTCACTCTGTGACACTGTGACGGGATATACAGCGTTTCTTATACATATTTTCACTAGGTATATGCCAAGGCCCGTCGGGATCGCTTCCAGCAGGAGAGAAAGAGAGCGGGTGACAGCATGATAAGGTAATGTAAGTCATGTTATAACTGTGTGACGCGGCTGAGATGAAGACCATTACGCTGCTGAAAGTCCAATCCAATGACAGACGTTGATTTTATAATTGTAGCATGTCATAGTCTGGGCAGGTCATTACAACTCCCATAGATCCCCAATACGTACCTACCTACCTTTAGTTACCGTGTGGGTGCGGTGGCGAGGACCCAGCACGCCGGACTATCTGACAAATGCCGACGTGCCCTGTAGCCACTGTGGCTGCTGTTGCCTATGGTGTGTGAAACACAGACGCAGCCGGTAGCTACTGTACAGGCTGCCGTGGAACGGGACTAGATGCCTGGAAGGAGGAAGGAGGGAGGAGGGGAGGAGGAGGGATAAAGTATAGAGCGTCACCGCTGACACCCACTCTAATGTTTACAGGCAAGACAGGGGTACATATGCCTGAGGAATCACAGCTCGGCTTTTTACCCCGCATTTCATATTATCTATGTATGTATC